GAAGAGTAACTCGTATTGCATGATGGTTCCACAGCATTTGACTATTTTAGTCATTTAAGAGCTAGGCAGTCATATTGAGGGGGAGATTTTTTTAAGAATTGGCACAAATCTCGCACAGCTCTCAGTAATACTACACTTGGTGAGATTTCTTGGTGTTTGCTTTTGAATTGGATTCGATGCAAGCTGCTCAATATTAACTTGTCCACAGCTAAAGTTGCCTTTATGTTCTTCAATATGCCATATTAATTTTCAGACTTTTTTCTTGACAGCACTGAAGGAAACAGCCTCCCTCTGCTTACGCATGGCACAGTTTGGGAGAGTTGCCTGAAGGGCTCCCAGCTCAATCAAGGCTGCTGCGCTTTGCTAGAATGTTGTCTAAAGTGAAAGGATAACTCCATTTAAGTCAGGAATCATGACACACTAGCACAGCATAATCTGAAACAATGCTAAGGCTTCTGTATAAATGCAAGCAGTGTGGATTTGAGTCTCTTGGCTATGGAAGTCAGCTTGGAAAGAAAAAAATAAATGGAAACCACAACTTGACCCTTTATTTGGTCACGCTGTCTGCAAGTAATTAAAATCTTAAAGTGTGTTAACAAATGAGACTGTATTCACTACAGTCTCTTCTGTTCCATTGAGGAAATGCCCCTTTAATCATTACAGATTATTTTCGTTGAGTCCTTAACAATCAGTGCAGATTAAAAATACTTGATGTATTTGCTTTTGACCAGTTCCTTTCAGAAAGCATGCAGTTAGCTCACTCTTCACAAAACATTCACATTAAAATCCCCACAAACCACAAAAACATGTTTTACATAAGTTTGTGTGCATTCTTACTAGTCTAGGTGAACTGCTGCTGAATTATTAAATGCAGTGGAAAAAAATATTTATATATATGTAAAGCACATATTCATTAATAACACTAAGCTATTTATTACAGTTTACTTAAAGTGTTTTGTTAAGCATTAAAAAAAACCATTTCCATTTCATACAAGACTTATAGCTAAATATTCCATACTGTCAGTCTAATAGTGTCTCATGGTTTGCCTCCAGCAGCATGAATTCTGTGCTAGCAACATGAAAGTACCCTCAGCTTGTTGACAGGAGTAGTTCAGCAGATCTGTTAAACAGTGTGACTCTCTTGGCATTGTGGAAAACAGATTGGCAGGTGTATATGCACACTGATGGAGCTGTATACTTCACATGGCTGACCAAAATAGACTTTGTTAGTACCTTTCCTGGTAAACTGGGTGCTGTGTCTTCGTTCTTGCTGGTTTCAATGCTGCAAATGGAACTGCAGACGTGTTCTCTGTCTTTTTAAATGAAGTAAGAGGAGAGGTTGTAGAGATCTATATGCCCAGAATTTAAAGAGATCAATTTTCTTACTTGTGGGGAAAGAGGTTAAGGCCATAAAATAAAATCTAAGAAAATCTAAAATTTTTTTTTTTGGGTAACCTAGGATTTCCTTTATGAAGATATGGATCTTCTAACAGAAAAACTAAGAGCTCTGGCTACTGATGGAAACAAGCACCGGGCCAAAGTGGATAAAAGAAAGCAGCGATCTGTCTTCAGAGATGTTCTACGGGCTGTTGAGGTGATTCTTTTGTCTTAGTTACAATCTAGACTTACACAATACATAGTGTACAATTTAGTGAAAATAATCTTATTATTAAACAGAATTACTGTTTCTGTGAAAGAAACAGGAAAAAGGTATTTTAAGTGAGATTTCATATTCTGATCACGTATGTGTAATAGAACTGCTTTTTTTTTAAGGGATGTTGGACAAAGATACTGGGAATAGTTAAACATTGTGTGAGCTAAGGAGAAGGCTTGCATGATTTGGAGTCACCTTTAGGATTCTGCCTGTAGAAGAATCTGAATCACCTATTAGCACTTGCTACATTCCATTGTTCTGAATGTAGTTACTCGTACCTGTAAGGTAGAGACTAAATGAGGCTTACAGGCTGACTTAAAGGTGACTTCTGTGCTCAGAACTAGTTTTCCTGGTGATAAGTCTAATTCTTTAAGTAATTTTGAAGATGAAAGTTGAGTGTTTATTCTTTAAAAAGCTTTCTAATCATGAAGAATATAATCTTCAAGTTCTGCATGAGGTTTGACTGTAGGTGTGCATCTGCTTTATGAACAAATACTGTCTTTATCATATGTATACTGTGTTATTTGGAAGGTTTTGCCTTGCCGAATTTATCAATGAACATAAAGTTCACTGAAATGTATAAAATTCCTAGTACAAAAGACAGTTTAAATTAAAATGATAGATGGTGTTCCCTTTGATTTTTGCATAGGAGCGTGACTTTCCTACAGAGATGGTGAAGTTTGGACCCGAGCGCATGTATATTGACTGCTGGGTTAAAAAACAAACTTACGAGACATTCAAGGAGATTCTGGGCTCGGGGATGCAATATCATCTGCAGGTGAGCTGCTCTTTCTTTCTCAGCCTTGCTCCCTGTCTGGGTTCTTTGATGTAATTCAGTTTGAATTACAAAATCCCGAGTAGAACTTAGTGAAGTGATGAGCTTTGCATTTGAGATGTTAAAAGACAGCACTTTAAAAAAACTAACTACAGTGAGCTACAGCAGTCTGGGTAAGCTGCTTCTCAGTTGTAGCCTGGGTGTGCTAGCTTAGTAATCGACTTCTCCAAGAAGTAAGAAATTTAAGCTGAATATCTTTTTAGCTTCAGGGGTTTTCCTGAATCCTTATGCTCTTTCAGCAGTGTGGTTATAGTCATCTGGCTGCTATAAAGCTGCATGCCTCCACCCTTCCTGTTCAAGCCTGTAAAAGAAGGGCAAAGTTTTAGTTCAAAAATAACGAGTACAACTTGCATCCCAGTGATGACAACATTCCAGAAGAGAAGGCATAAATCTTTATCTCTGTTCTGGGAACTGCTTGTTTACTAGTCATCTGTTTACATATGTAACAGGAGCCGGAGCTGTAGTTCAGGAATATATGTTCGCAAGTTGCTGTGATAATCATGGGGTTAAAATGTTCAGTCCTGTGTTGCACTTCTCTGTGAGGGAGGGAGCTCAGGCATGTAGCAGGTTTTTCAGTTTTTTCCAGTACTACTTTCACAGCCAGATGTTTTTAAACTGGTGTGTTGTGAAAACATACAGCTCTGTTCAGCTGCCTGATTTTGTGTAGAACAAGGTCTCATTTGCTGGGACAAAAATATCAAAGGAGGCAGGAGGAGCTGTCTTCTCAAGGTGGCAGTTTTTACTTTTAGCCTTATTCTGGTTAAAGGAGGAAGTGTTCTTGACTTAATTGCAAAAGAGATCGGCAATTTCGCACAAATCGTAGTTTTTTTTACTGGGACACTTGATATTTTGCAGTAGTCAACTTTAGGTACTTTAATTAGAGGGGAAACTGATCATTTGGTGTGTTTCTTGTCTAGTCAAATGACTTTCTTCGGAATGTGTTTGAGCTTGGTCCACCAGTAATGCTGGATGCTGCAACTCTTAAAACAATGAAGATATCCCGTTTTGAAAGGGTAGGTTGTTGCACCTTAATGAATTTTCTTCCTACTTTAATTACTCCTGCACTTCAGAAGCTGTCATTGTTACGCTTGTCACTGTAGTTCTAAGAGTGCCTCATTGTCCTGAATGAAACCCAGCCTTACTTGTATGCATCTGTGAGCTCTTAGGTTTTCCAATGGGCACATGTCTGCGTTTTTTCCAAAGGGGTCTGAAGGTTCATGTGGTTGCTGATGGGTATTAGATTAATGCTCCACACGTGTGAAACTTGGTCTCTTCTGAGAAATACATGGTTTTGGGGAGGGAACTAGAGGAAACTCTGGGAACTGAGTCTTTATAAAGACAGTATCCGAAACTGCAGTGTGAAATGGGCACTAGGAGGTTGACCTTGTTCTGTTGATTGTGCATGCATTAATCCTGTTTATAATCAAGTTTAATATGGAGGTAAATGTAACCTACATGGTATCTGCTGGATGTTCAAGAGTGACTGGCTTCCGGAACTGCTCATAGTTAAGCCTTTCTTATACAGGCCAAGTTTCTTTTAAATATGTCTATATCTATCTGTGTATATATATATATAAAAACACACACTAAAATTAGCCTTTGATGCAGAGATAGCATACTGTAACTTTCAGAAGGCCTACTAGTTAACTTCAAAGATTAATAAAAGGATATTTTCATTTGTTTTGTAACATGAAAAATCTTTGAAGGGCATAAGCATTATGACAATATGTAATTGTTTTTTTTTATTTTGTAGCACTTGTACAACTCTGCAGCATTCAAGGCTCGGACAAAGGCTAGAAGTAAATGTCGTGATAAGAGAGCAGACGTGGGGGAGTTTTTTTAGATTCCCTTTTTAATGGCGTTCAACTTTCATAATTGAAATAAATTTGTAACATTTGAATGAATTTTTTAACTTCTGTAGTCAGTTTGCAGTTGTGCACAGGTTTGTTACATAGTCTGTAAATACAATGAATGTTCTTGCTTAGTTGTGTATACACTGTATATAGATTTATGTAACAGTTGGTGCAGGGATACATTATAATACATTAGCCCCCAACTAGGTGCAAAGATAGATTACATGGTAACTGATACATTAAATGGGGTGGATAACTGTAGTCAAATGCTATGTGTCAGATTGGATACTTTATATAAAGTAATTCATTGACCAAGTGTTCTGGTAAGAATGTGCTAATATGAAAAGATGACCATGTTTGTGTGAAATTATTTTAGTAACTTTTTAAAACTCTCTAGTGGCAGACAGACAAGAAATTCTTATGTAAGTATAGCTTTATCCTGGCAGAGACTATGAAGTTCAGTAACTTCTACTGATGGTCAAGTAGTGAATGATAAATACTGGCCTCCATGTAAAATGAAAGTAAGAATCTTGTGTTCTGAAACTGAATATTTAATTTTTGGAATAAATGTGTTTCTCACTGCTTGCTCTCTGTGTAAAAGTAATTACTCCATGAATGAAAAGCTGTAACACTGTCGAAACCTAAAGGTTGAAAGGGGTGGATTTGCTTATTTGCTGGTTCAGACATCTGCTTGAGACATCTGCTTCGCAGTGCATTAGTAGATGCTACATGCAAGTCTACCTTGCTGTGTTTCAAAGATGCCTCATACTTCCATGTGGTTTGCACAATAGCCTGATCTTGATTTGCATTGCTTCTCTAATGGTCAAAAGTTTTCTAGTTTTGGTGCTGCAAAACCTGTTGTACTCTATCTTAGAGGAACCATTTTGGCTTCCCTGTGTTCGACATGTTGAAAACTGCACTTCTAACATCAGTTTCTGGTTCTGTATGACTGAAATGTGCCAGTGACTGAGAATTGTCTTAGGAATGAGGTGGGGGGGGGCAGAGGATGTTAAGTAATAAAGGCACTAAAACCTAAGTAGTTGGAGCTTCTGAACGTGAAGATCTATAGAACTCATTCTTCAAATAAGCATTCTTAAAATGTTTGTCACCAGATGAAGTAAACATTGCATTGAAAACAACACTGCCTCCTGAAAACTTGCCTGCTCTGATAAGGAAAAGTTGAGTTTGGGGTGGAGTGGTTTTCCCCTCCCATTTTCTGATTACAGCTGAACCTATTCCAGAAAGTCAATGCTAATGAGTTGTACTTTCTACTTTAACCTCTTTTCCCCCAGTATATAAGAACTTGTTTGGCTTGTGAAACCGATCACTTGGACCACACGAAACCTTGAACTGAAATCTCTGATGAACACATGTCAGTTTTAGACAAGTGGAGAAAAGCCTGATCCTTGGCTGAGTGAAGCTGTGTGCTTGTAGTTGCCTGGCCCAAGACCATTCCCTTTGAGTTAGCTGTTCCCTTGAGCCTGTTGGTGTCTCCTGTGTCTTCTGCATAGTCACCTTTGGTGTCCTTTGCCAGACACTATTGATAGTTTCCTGCCCAGAGTTTCTGTGGCACCTCCTGGCAGACGGCCAAGCAGATGGTTGCCCTTTTCCCTCCTGTGCTGTAGCTGCCACCCACAGTGACCTGTGTGGCTTCCAGGGCTGTTGCAGAGGTGGCTGGTTCTGCAGCCCTGCAGACTTTCCTTGGTTTTGCAGATCTTTTCAACTGGAGAGGCCTGTGTCCTTGTCTTAGTTATGTTGGTGTCACTTTTTGGGGTATAGAAATAACACTTTTTTTTCTGGCTTGCACATCCTGACGGGGAGGGAGGACTTCAGGAGATTCCTGGAGAAAAGGGAGCAGTTCTGTGCAGCAGAACATGTCTGCTTAGGGAAATATGAGTGAGGTGATTTATTCTTTTTTGTTTCCTGAGAGAGAAATATGTTTAAGGGCAGTTTAAAGGGATTCGGAATTTTAGATGTGAGATGGCTTCAGAAAGGATTTGTTTTGAGCTGCCTCTGTCAACTGCCTCTCAATACAGCATGCTGTAACACTGCCTTCTGCATTGTCAGCAAGGAAAAAGTGATCAGAAGAACTGCCAGCAAAGGAGCAATTACACTATTCACCACCAGTTCATCAGAATTCAATCTTTGAACAAGTAAGGATGCCAGACAAATTAGTCTACCACATACTACTGTCCCACTTGAATTCATAAAGTATATGGGAGAAGGTAGAAAAGACACTCGTTTTTCAAGTCTATGACTTTAAAATACTCATGACTCCAGTACTGTAGATATGACTCTTCTGCATAGCAAACTGGTTACTCATATCTACAGTGGTGTAGATATGACTCTTCTGCATAGTAAATGCATTTTAGACAAGCACTAAACCTAAGAGGTTTGGCACTAACCAAAAGGTTAGTGAAATACTGATCATCAGTAACAACCCCCATTCTCCATGATGAGATATTGTCATGATTCCAGTATAATAAAGAGGAGCTGTGTATGTGCTGATTTCTGTTTCAGTAGATCAATATTGTGACGTGAGTATGCTTAGCCAAGTTGCACGCTAAATATAGATTGAAAGGGGCAGTCTGTTTCATAGCTATCTTTATGGGTACTGCAGAACTCGACAGGTTCCTAAAGGATTAAAAGTAGAGAGAGGAACTGCAGAACAAGTTTCCTTCACATGATTTTCACTGGCTGATTTCTTCCATACTGGCACATTACCTGAATGTAATTATGTTGTAAGTAATGTTTCATTCTCCTGTTTTTTAACCTTTTAGATTTTATTTCAGTTTTTTTCTGTGAAGAATTTTCAGGGTGTTCTCATTCTAAGTCTTTTTTTACCACAATGACTTAGGAAGAAATTTAAAAGTTACATTAGGGGAAAAATCATTAGGAACCATTAAAGCATAAGACAAAGTGAATCCAAAGGTCCCAACGTTTAGATTGGTTTGTTGAGAAAATAATACTTTGTCCAGTGACACTGATGTTTGTATTCTTTCTTCTTTGGCATGTCAGTGGAATCAAACGTATATATGAACTTTTTTTAATTAATAATGGTAATCTTGACTGTGTTTACATGTACAAATACCTAAATAATTAGTAATGAGTGCAGAAACATATAATTCATAATACTAATGAATCAAAGGTACTCACATTTATTACAGCTCAAGTTGTTAAGAAGAGTCTTCCCTGAAGCTGCAGGGAGGGATGAATCAAAATAGAGAAGCAACTGCTCTTCAGAATCTAAAAATAACCAAAAGCCTTTGTGCACGAAGTGGTAACTTTTAGCACGCCGTTCAAACACAGGGCTCCATAATGATTGTGTTGGCTGAGGATGTGCATGTGGGGAGACAGCAGAGCCAGCTCTGGTGGGGAGGTGGCTCACAGACTGTGCTGCCTGGTGCCACTTCGTGTTCTAGAGGAAGGGCAGTGGGTCCTGAAGTTACTGCTGCACACCTGAAAATCATGTACTAGGTAAGGTTAACCCCTATTATGCCAGCTTTTCTACATTTTCTTTGTACTTTGAAGCAACACTTCTGAACAGAGGAAAATATAAGTTGGAATCTTTTCTTATAGGCTGTTAAAAAGAAATATAAAAGTATCCATAGACTCCTGTTAATCTCCACTAGCAGGAGAACATCCTCCATTGTTAGGATTGGTTCCAGTGCTTAGTCTTCAGAATTACTGAGGCTCATTGAATGTCCACAGTGTGCTCAGCTTTGGGGAAATTACAACAATGTTCTGCGTTTGGTTTGATGAGGGAATGAGTGAGTATTTTCTGCAAACAATCAGGGCTCAAGTTTTAGGTTTTTAATTTGTTATATTAGGAATCTGTCACACTGTGTTCTGTATTCCTTGGAGAGAAAGAGAAGGCTCAGAGAGAATAGTTCAACCCATTTAGGATTCAGAAATCACCTTTAGATGCTTAACACGTCATCAAGGGAGCTTTGCATCCCATGAAGAGCCGATTTATGTTGGCAGATAAAATTGAACTTGGGAGCTTTATAAAATACTGAACGAGTAAGGTGCATTCTGCTCCAAATTTAAGCTAATCTGTGGGAGCCCCCTCCTTACATTCACTAGCAAGAAAAATGTACATTTAGGCTGTGATTCTAAAGTGAGAAAGGCATATCTTAGAATGAGAGGGATATTACCTGGAGGAATGTGTTTTTCCTCAATCATTACAGAGGGAGATTTCAGTGACAATTGTAGAAAAACATGCCTACTTAGAGTGTCTGCATCTCCTTATGGCTAGAAGCATAGCTTGTTTCTGGAAGACATTTTTGCAATCAGAGTAGTGTAAAGGAAAGCAAAATACTGATAAAGAATAATGTGCAATACACAGAAGCTGCCTTCCTAGGTATTGCTTATTTTCTATATATAATCTTCTTTCAAAACTATATTTATATTAAGAATCATGTACTGAGTTTATGCACCCAAACTCTACAGAGAAACTGTTTTTACTAATTGAACCTCATCCAGTGCCTTTTTTTAAAGCAAGGGGTATTAGTCTGAAGAAAAATCTTTTTAAATTTGTACAAAACTCTGAAGTAGAATCGCATTACAAGACTACATTTTCGTTCCATTTTTCAAAATTAATGTGAAGTTACACAGTGATATTCTAAGGTGTATAAACAGACACATGCTCTTGTTGCTTACCTCCTATATTCATACCTGCTTTCCCTGTCTTACCTCTCAATTATTTGATGCTGAAAGAAGAGGACCTGAGTGACATCCTTTCTGGAGTGTTAGTGAAGGTTTGGCTTTCACTGTGGTCAGGATCTCACACCACCTCTTAGCAAGTACTCACCAAATCAAAGGATAATACACTACATAGGTAGCATTCAAATCAATGCTGGAGCCAGTCAAATTGACTTTTCTCTCTCTCTCTCCCCATACACATGCATATGTGCACAAACACAATGTAAAAATAAATGTTTTAATCATCGAAGGTTTCCAAGAAAAAACAAGTGCTATATATTGAGTTATCCCTGCCTTCAAGATCTAGTAAGTATGCTGGTGCTTCAAATCTCTGTATTTTAAGGATTGTTTATGCTGCTTAGTATTTCCTTAGAGCAGGATACCAACTGTTACAAGTTACTTCCCATAGCCATGAGTTAATTTATCTTTTAAATTATTATTTCTTTTAGAGATAATGGAGAGGGCTTCCTTGGAATTTAACCTGCCTGATACTCACGAAGAAGGAAAACTTTATGTAGTTGATTCCCTAAACAATCTAAACAAGCTAAATGTTTGTCCAGTTGAATCCCAACATTCACTGGGTATGTATAATAGGTGATCTGTGGATTTCTGTATGTACAATCCATATTGCATATCACTGATGTCAACAGCCTAAAAGGCCAATAGGTATGCCAAGCTCTGTACTGAAAAATGTAAGAAAAAGATTGAAAATGGCATCATTTAGAAGATCAGACAATGATTTAGCTGTCCCTGCTGAGTATTTCCACTTTAGGTTCCTGAAAATCCTTGCATTTAGTTAGGGATTTGTTGTCAAACCTGAATTTCTCTTCCATTTCAGTTGGGATTTATGAGATTGTCATTTGCAGGACAATCTCTCTAGTAATGCCTAATACACACCTTCTAAATAAATAGCATCAGAGCTCTTCCAAAGCACTAAAATTCTTATGTGGCAACAGCAGCACCTGAAAATTTCTGTTCATTCCTTTAAGACACACCTCCTGAGAACTCAAACCAGTTACCTATTGCCTGTGAGACCTTTAACCATTTTACTTTCTGGACTTTCTTTACTTACAGTTTCAGTTATGGCTCCCACATTTCTACTGGTTTGATAAGGCCTTTGCCTTTGATTTCTCCCAGCAACAAGAATATTTTCACCCAGTGATAGCTACAATTTGAATTCTTTGTGACCTGGAAATATTTTTAAACTTGGAGCTCTTCAGCAGCATTCCACATAACTATATTTGAGTCTGCTTTTATTTCCCTTATTGTAATGGTAAATTTGAGTGAAGAAATTTATAGATCAACAGCTATGTTGAAATGTGTTTTTAGTGGCTATAACTTAATCATGCTTCTAGTTAAATGTTTTCTCATTACTTCTGTTTCCAAGTCCCCTTTTTCTAATCCAACTAACTAGAGTGGTGCTGCTTTCTGTATTTAATGCAAATATTTTAGATATAAAGTACTAAATTCTCATATGTAGAATGTCTTGATAAGTGTCACTTCAACACATAGAAAATGAGACAATGGCATACATCAATTTTAATGTTAAAGAAATTCAGTATGACTGTTTTGCTTTCTTTTGCAATTTTATTGGACAGTATTATTTACTTTATGGGTAAATATACAAGGTTCTGTGGAAACATATGTGATTCTCTGGAATAATCACATGCATGCCCCTCCCTACATTTCAGCAGTAAAAAATGGTAGCTTAATAAGTGTTTTATTAATATATTTGTAAAATCCTGTGATTCCTTCTAGGATTATTCTTTTAATGTAGCTTTTAAGCTTGAAGAGTCTGTAGATATCTCATGCTGTCAACTACCTTACTCAGCAGCATAAAACTCTGGTTCTCTTGCCAGAAAATCAGAGACATGTCAAAAGCTGTTTAAAATTTATATACTGTTTGGTTGCTTCAGTAGGAGCCATGCAGTAATTTCATGTTTCAGATGATAAAATGTTCCCACTGTTTGCAGTTTCACAAGAATGTGTGCTCACCAATTCCTCATGACACTGCAGCCTGGCATGTTCAGGCTGATGAAGTAGTTAGAAGCATTTATTAGGGTAGAGCAAGCTCAGACCCATTTTGACACTACTACTGAGAACTTAGGATGCTTGGCAGGCAGCAGTAGCAGGCCCTGCCCATCCTTATTATTCTGATTAGAAAGCAATATTGGTGCAGACACTTAGTATATGGTGCATTTGTTATGAATGCTAAGGGAATAACAATAGAACCTCAAAGGACAAATATGAAAATCAGCTTACTCATGGAAAGGAGTGTGTTAAACACAAAATAAAGAAAACCAGAGATATTCCAAGAGATCTACCAGCTCAGTGAATTGTTCATCCCTAGGCAGGGTCACTATTAAAGTGCTGTAAGGACATAAGCAGCCTTTCCTAAGCTTTATCACTACAGGCTCAGTTGCAAAGACCCCCAGAGATTTCCACATGAACATGAAACATGAAACAAGAACATGATCTAGAAATGCATTTTTCACAGATGCACATGCTACTCTCTCAGAATGGCAAGACAGCAATTACAGAAGGATAAATTACAGTAATTTGCATGTAATTTTAGTATATATGGAACTGAAACCAAAGTGAAATTACATTAGCTTCCTCCTCTCTCCAAAGCAGAAAATAAACCCAAATCTTTGTAAGTTATTACAGGAGTGGACAAACTTAAGATTAAACATATCTGTCTCAAGTGTCAATTTTTTACATTCACATGAATTTCCTCATGGTGTTCACTTGACTTGTTATCTTTGGGGCTTACTGACACCTCACGTTGATTGCAACTATTTCTATGAGAGAAACTACTGACTTTGCCTATATATGCAACACATTCTTTAAAAATCAATGAATTGGCTTGTTGAGCTGACTCAATGACAGCATTGCAAGTGCCTTTCCTTTTTCCCCTCATTCTTCCTGTGCTTAAAGGACTACATATGTAGTCTGTATGAGAGTCTGTTCCATTCTTGACAACTGGGAGGATAGGTACCTCGTTTTTTACTGTAATGAAACAAAAAAGTAGTAAAGATGAAGAAGGCTATTGAAAACATTTGTTTTAAGATAAAACAGTCAAAACCTACATTAATTCTATCCAACCTGAGGAGCTTAACTGAGATGTTTACTTTAGCAAATGAATCATCCTAGGGATACTTCTCATTAAACAGAAAAAGAAGCATACCTAGAGGATCAAAGTGTATGATGAATCTGTACTTTGGTTTTCAGTATGAATTTTGCTTTCTTCCCTTTTGAAAAGGTTAAATGCAATCAAGCCCTAACAAAGCTGCCTGACGACAACTTCATTGCAGACTTTGTACATGTAAAACTGATGTAAAACTCTGAACTGTAAAACAAGTCAACTTCAACAAAACACTGTATTTCAACAACAGAAACTTTTTTGTTGAATGTGTTCTAACAGTGATAAAAAATGTATATTTTTTTATATTTCCAAATTCAAGTTGAGTTCATAAATTTGATTTCTTCCCTTTTCATGAAATATCACAGGAAATAAAATCTGTTGGCCAAATATAGGACGTATTCTGCATCGTTTCAAGAAGCCAGAAGCATTTTATCATGCTTATCCTAACCAACCTTATAAATTCTGTCACCAAATGATTTGTCATCTCTTAACAGATGAGGAAGAGAACACTGGTGGTACTGAAGAAAATATGGCAGGGAACAACACAAGAAACCAGTTCTTGTTCTTCGTTACCTTTATTCTTACTTTGACCATCAGTTTGGCACTTGTTTCATTTGTAATATTCTTAATATGTAAGTAAACCAAAGGGTAGTTCTTAAAAATGTAGGACTGATTGGAAAAAGAGCTTTGCTGAAATGTGTCATGCTACCTTATAACATGCTACTCCTGTATTTGCATGGTCAAAGGCTTTGGCTGGTTCTGGGCACTGGGTCGTGGTCCTGGGGGCAGAAGCACAGTCAAACAACACTTTCTCAGGGCTAAAAGGCACAATTTCATTCTTAGTGCTAAGGATTTGTGAGCTTCAACAGCTGTGAAGAGTTTATCTCAGCAGCATTATATTGTGTTGCTAAAAATGGTGACTGGAAATGAAATTAAAATTTAAAGGAAATTGTGTATGGCAGTGAGATACTCTGGCAATGTGCCTTCCAGCCCTTTCCATAAAATTCAGTACTGGGGTCATTCCACTGAAACTGGAATTCCATTCAGGCTAACACTTAATTCAGGCAACTTGAAGGAAGACCTGACCCTTTGTCATCAAAGTACTGTCTGGAAATTGATTTGGAACTAAGAAAGACTTAAGCATAAGAAAAAGAATTAGACATTTATCAAGATTTGCATGTAGCATTGAATCTGTAGACACAATTACTGTATTCCAGTATTTTAGGACTGATCAAGTGGGTTTAGCTAAAGACATGGCTGGTTAATGGAACACTTGTCATCTCAGGGCTTTCTGAGCTAATAATATTGAATAGAATCTGAGGTGCATTATTTCAATTTACAAGTCTTTTTGAAAGAATTGGAACCCATATGAAATCAAGATTTCTTATATCCTGTAGTAGGGAATTTGCTGAAACATAGTGAAAATCCTGACTTTTCTTTTAGGCGTGGAAATTCTAACCCTTGACTAAATTTTCTTACAGGGACTCAAAGAAATATCAGAGAAGTAAAAAACATAAAGTGGATTTTAAGTAGCATGATTGTGAAATCCTAATTGAAATATCTCATACCTGAATTTCAGATATATATAACATGGAGCTGCTAAAAGTAGAGCCTTGGCACAGAAAAATTAGTATTGGGTTACTCTAGTGGAAAAATTATAAACTAGGGTGAAAAGATTTCTTACAAGAATTAAAGCAGTTTGCTTGGGCTCAAGTTGATGGAGGCCTGAAACTGATTTCCAGTGGTCTTTCAGTTTATGTTGCAATGTTTTATTAGATACATATAGTATGTTATATAATCTGAGATGCTTGCAAACTACATGCATATATTCATTAAGCATTGCCACTATTACACTTACGCTTCAAAACCCATAGGTAAATTTTTTAACTTCAGAAGGCCAAAATAAAAATAGCTCCATAAATGCATATTGGCGTGCCAGAGGAGGCTGGCCTCGAAGTGCCAGTATTTGCAAGAATTTTTCTTTAATTTAAAATAAAATACATGCACATACTTACCACAAATTGGATCTTGAAGCCCCTAAATAAGACATTTCCCTGTGGACACTGATGGCTATGCTCCCAAAAACTGCAAAAATTATCTGAGCCATATGTAATTTTATTACTCTGCACTAAACTAAAAGAAGAATCCAGCAAAGGAGCAAAAAACAACATAGTGAGCAGGTAAACCCACCAGATGTATAACTTATTATTAGGTTCTGCAGTTGTTCTCCTGTTTAATATTTTTAGTCATCATAATTCCTTATAAAGTCTCACAGAAATACAAATGAGGGTAGTGATGCTCTTCACTTGAATGTTACCAATTTAATGTGGTATATTTTCCTTTTAAAGTTCAAACTAGAAATGAAGTGGACCAAATATCAAGCAGACTACTATCTGAAAAGAAGAACATAGAAGAGCTGAAGAAACTTAACAATATTATATTAAAGCACCTGAATCAATCCAGAATTATGGAAAAGCCTTCTGATCTTCATTATTACTTCTTTACCCATGCTGAGCTCAAAGTCCCTGGAGAATAGATCTTCTTTGGAAAGAAATTCAACATGTTCATAACTCAGATATTTTCACATATGGCACACAGATTGCTGAAACATTGCTGGAAAAGCCAGATGAATGAAAAATTTTATCAAATAGTATTTTATCCTGTTTTACGTGGACACAGATTTGTAATACTAAGCCCATATGATTCATGATAAACAATGGATTGTCAGTTTGGGGCAAGACATCCAGATTCCCTGTGCACAGTAAATCACAGGGGTAAGGGCTTAGTTTTACTTTAAATGTAAGTGAATGACCACAGAAAATCACGAGTTCTGTTCATGTGATTCTGGCATTACCTTGTTCACTTAATCATTCTGCTGTTACCTTTGTACAAGCTTTCTGTTTATTTCTATTATTATGTGTATTTAAGGATAACTTCAGATTTCATAACTTATAAAGAAATCCATTTCTGGTCTAGAGTTTTGTGGTTTTCTCTTCTGTGAATCTAAGCATACTGATATACTACTCTTCTTGTGAAAAAAAAAGCAAACAACAACCAAACAAAAAAAACCCCTCAGACTTGAATAACATCAAACCCTTTCATAAGATGCCATAATAAGCCCAGATTTTTATTGACAGAGTGAGTTGCCTATTGCCTTACCTGGAAAATGTGTTTAGAGGACTCAGTCTGGAAATGTCACAGCATTATCACCACCATTCTATCTCATAGCAATGCCAACACACTGTACTCACAATTTGCAGGTGAAGCCCAAGTGATGTGGGGAAAATACTGGATGTTCTTGTACTCTCCGCTACAGTTGCTGCTGGTCACCATCAGAGAAGGGCCAGATGAAATGTGGTTGGAATCTTCATGGTTTTAATGTCAAGCAATACCTCAGAGGCTAGAAGGATCCACCCTCTCTGAGCTTACACAGTTGTGGAGACAGACATCTGAAAGTGTGATTATATAAGGGCCTGCTGGGTAGCTTTGTCATTTTTAGTATTCAGAACCTTCTACTGAAATATACATTAAGAAGGCACCTCCATAATCAAGCAATAAATTGGTTACTCCTGTCGTGATGGTGCAATGGCAGCTGACAACCATGGAATATGTCCATCATCATCTCTTTCACTTAAAGTTCTCATTCTCATGCAATTGTTTCTTATCTCTTCTGGATAGTTTTACAAAAAAGTCACCAAAGTCAACAGCCTGCATTGCAGTCTTCTTTTCCAGAATTCATGACAGTCCTTTCTGTGATGACTACTTCATTGTCTGCAACAAAGTGAAGAACTAAGTCCAGGAGTATATATTGGTACCACTCTCCCTGGATTTGCCCATCAATTCTATTCCTGCTATTATGAGAGCTTTGCTTTACACGTATGTTTTACATCACCTTCTTTCTATTTCCTGTTTTTTATTTTCCTGATGTATTACTGTCAAGTTATTCACATGAAAATGGTGAAGATTGGTTTCAAGAATTTATTATTCCTGCTCTTGCTTCCCAGCTGCAATTTTAGTTATCTCCTCTGGACATCACAAGTAGTTTTTACAAAGGTGACTCTAATATCAGAGAATGCTATCAGAGAATGATAAAAATTAGTATAGAAAACTTGTAAGTAAAGGAACCCTGAAAGTCTAACCCAAACGTCTTTCTGTAAATGCTGTTAAATGATAAAAGAAAAGGTATCTTAAGACTAAAATCATTACACTTGCAGTGTTGCTTCTCTGTTCTGCTCTGAGCTGTCACCTGCATTTTAGTGACAGTATTAATTTCTTATCTCTCCCACTCCCATTGTAGCTTCTGTAACTGCTCTCAAGCTTCTGCCTTGCATTGACCCACATCCATACTTGTGAGCCAGTGAGAAACACTAGTATTTGGCACTCAGTGTATCTCAAATGTGGATTTGTCACATCCCTCATTACAACTGTAGTTATCAGAGCAGTCTGTGGTCCACTAGAAACTGATACCAGGAGCCAATAGACTTTTCTTTCTGGCAGGAAACTGTAAATAAAATGTGTGCTAGAGCAACAGTCCCCAAAGAAATGAAAGTTTCCTCATCTTTCTGATGTCCTCAATTATTCTTAATCTTGGTTGTTCAGTCAGTACTCATAAAAAATCCACTTTTTTCATCTCTGCTATTGATTAGAAGTGTTGTTGTTTCATTCCATGGTTTCATCCTGCAAGATGGTGAGTGACCTCAACTGCCCCAGACTTAAGACCAACTGAGTCGTAACAATGTACAGGCATGCTCAGTATCATACAGAACTGATCATGCTTTTCATATTTAATTGATTCTTCACTTGCAGTGATCAGCAATTAAGATCAGTGACTGAAAAAGTGCAGAGGTCAAATGCTGATGCTGCTAGTGCTGCTGAAACACACCTATTGTTGGGAGATAACTTGCAGAAACAGATGATGTGGGGTAGCACAAGCCTTTGGCTTCTCAACTCGAGTTAACAATAGTTAACAACATCCATTTGCTGTCAGAACTGCTTCTACATGACATCAGAGCAAGGGTTGAGAGCAGAGTGCCACAATCCCTCCATCAACACTTTCTGGAAGACCCCTAACAAGCTCCTTTAGGGGAACTTTTCCATCTAATCTACTGACAGTGAAGTATTCCCAAACAAACCAATACTTGACATTTAAAACCTCCTACAAACCTTACCCTGAAGTGAATTTCAGCTCAATTCATCGGCCCATAATCCTTATCTCAAATAAACAGCTAAGTAAACTCCAAGCTCCAGCTGCATGTGACGTAGCCACTGTGCTGTATATAGACGTTTCAATGTCTCCTGCAGACGTGGGTAAGATCTCAGTCTCCTGTATAGCTGCACATTTCAAGAGCCTTTGCAATGCCTGGTATTACAACCAGAGAAAGATGATCTGACAGCTTCATCTTACAGTAGTCACAGCTGTTCTTGGTTGTACTGCTTCTTCCCTTTTTCTCTTATTTGCAGGCTGTAGACGTATCTACCCAAAGTAATTCATTCACTTTTCAGTAATTCCACTGTGCACAGAGGGTTCAGACAGATTTCCCAACATACCACTGACACTCATCTGCTGCAAGTATTATCATTGCTGAACTGACAACATGGTTTCAGGAAATTTTCTGCTGAACAAACCTGGACAATATTAGAAAAATGCTGGTAAGCAAAGAGGAAAGTATGGAATACTTAACCAATAATATACCTCCACTTTCCATCAGAAACATCATCATGCCAATCCCTGAAGGGTTGGCTGAATCTTTAGGTTGTTAGATAATATTGGTAGACAAAATACTTTCTTGCCTTGGTTAGCTTGCTGAGAAATTCACACCTTTGTTCCAGATATCCACATCAGCATTTGTTCTTGTTAACCTCAAACCATCAGACAGTATTTGACTAGAGAATAGTATCTGACAGTATCTCTGGGGAGAATATACATTACTAAATAGTAGAGGGTCAGCTGGACCCCTTGCTTGGGGTCATGTTTCCTTGAGAATATCAGTTTGTACTTGGCCTTGTGCTGCTCTAGAATAAAACAGCTCAAGCTCAATATCTACAAATAGCATGTAAGAACTGAGGGTAAAACATCTTTTATAGACACCTGTCCATGTCAAAGGTTACATGAATCTGAACAGAGGGCACCTTCAACTGAAAATGAGGCACAGACAATAAAGAGGGATTCCAAGAAACAATCAAATTTGTCCCTCTGCCTGACAGCAGCATTCAATTTTCTCAAAAAAATCCTGACAGGGGCTTGTCTATTCACATTGTAAAATATTCAAATAATGGACTGTCCACGGGCCTCCCCTTCTAATGTTCAACTAAATGAACGTGGTTAAATCTATTTTCCCTGAAGACTAACTAAAATTTTCCCTGATGAAATTTAAGCCCATTATCAACTGAGCAATTTCTTGTGAACATGAAAAATAGTTTGTATCTTCCGTTTTTTCATTTATTTGATATTATACTAGCTGCAAAGCAATTTTAACTTTGAGAAAGCTCTTTTGCCCTCTGAGATACTTGGAATTTTAATCTAACATTTATTCTTAAAGTCTACAATGAGTTCAGCTCATGTGCTTTGTTCACTGGTAACAATACAAAGCTAAACACGGGTTTATAAAAAACAATAATGATGATGTGTGAACTCTGAATGTGGAAAAAGAGAAAAGAAAATACCAGATGTGGCAAAAGGATTGTCACAAATTTGTCAGACCACACACTCTCGAAGGTGATGTGTTGTGTGTGGCACACAATCCAAACTGTTCAGGAACCCTAAATATGGTCGAGGTATTTGAAAAATCAGTAGAGTGGCATAGTGCTGAACAAAGACAAGAACTATTGTCAGAACACAAGAAGAAGAAAATTCCCCTTCATGGAGTTTTGAAGTCTTTGAAGATCAAATATTTACTTTTGTTTTATCAAAGCATAGTCTTGTAAAATTATACAAGACTGCCTTCAAATATGAATTGTCAGGTCCAAAATTCCAAGTTTTCTTATTAGCTTCACCCTGTCTGACTGGAGTTTCTGCTCTTGAGATACAGAACCTAGGCCATTGGAAATGAAAAATATCTGTTTTGACAGACAAAATCACAACTAGTTCTGATTAGAACTCTGATTAAGCAAAACCTAGATAAAACTAGTTGCTGCTATTTTTTGACAGCAACTAAAAAATAGATTTATGTTTTGACTAGTGACTGAAAATCATTTGTCCGAGAAGATGCTTACCTTGATCTTCTTATAGGCTGCCAGTATAACTATCTCGGAGATGCTGGCGAATAATGGAAGTTGGATCAAAACCTTAGATCCCAGCCCAGTGCTACTGGGATTAAGGGGATTGTTCCTTTCAATTAAAAAAAACCAAAACACATTCAGTCCATTACATGTTACTGTTACTTTCCTGACAAATTAACATGGATACTAAGATTTAAAGAGGGATGGAGGGGGTGTGTGTACTGTCACTTCCTCTGGGATACATTAGAAATAATAACACTGAGGCTACAGAACTTAGTCCTATTCAAGAACCCAATCAATCTTAGTATTTAAGAAAAGGCTTTTATAGACTCAGTTTCTGGTTTCTGGGCCACACTTCAGTGATCAAAATGCTGTCCACGATTCACTGATGAGCCAGCAAAACCCCTGAATGGTAATGAGAACCTTCCAGTAGAAAGAGTCACAGCACAGTGCTGCTGCTAATTTGTCACTGTGAGGAAAACCGCATTACACACAAGGTGAAAGGACAATTTAAAAATCGATTGCCTGCCAATTTAAATATCTATTAATAATTATGGGTTTGCTTTTGAGTTCTGCACTGCTCATTTAATCTTAATATCTTCTTCATCACATAACTGACTTTGGAAAACAGTGTCTGCCTACAAGGTGACACGAAATGTTGAAACTCCCGGACGCCCTTTACTCCTCAGTAAAAGCTCATGGATAATTCATTAACTTTCCATTTTTAGGGCGTCTTTTTTTTTTTTTTTTTTTAAGCTTTAGTTTTTTCTTAAAGCAACACTGAAACATTTTCTTCAGAAGAAGTCTTCCTGAGTACTCAAAATTATATGGGTACATATTCATCTTGAATTAAGGTGACAGGATAATAGTAATGGGTTCAAAGTGAAGAGGGAAAATTTAGGTTAGATAAATGGAAGAAATCCTTTACTGTGAGGGTGGTGAAGCACAGGTACAGGTTGCTCAGGGAAGCTGTGGATGCCCCATCCCTGGCAGAGTTCAAGGCCAGGCTGGATAGCGTATTGAGCAACCTGGTCGAGTGGTAGGTGTC